GGATGGGGTAGTCCTTCAGTGGATGCTGTTTCGGAGGGAAACTTGAGGGAGACGGCGCCCATCGTTTTGGCCCGATGCAAGACGGCGGCATACAAGAACAGCTCGGAACTCAGGAAACCACTTGAAGTAGAAAAGGAAATAGAGGTTTCCACCAGTTCTACGTCAGAAGAAGACTTCAAGCCTCAGAAGGTAAACGTGAAGAGAGGTTCAACGAACGGACAGGTAGGGGAAGTGGAGATCGGCAAAGAATGGATCTCGAAGGCACATCAGGACATGAGCAAACAAGTGACGAGTGATCCATTGGAGAGGAACAAGACGAGGAACACTTCCCGGACGTGGTGGGTGGCCCTCGAAACATTGAAGGAAATGGAGGACTGCTTGAAGAAGTTGGATAGTGGAATAGCTCGCAGGCGACGCAATTGGGCCACCCAGCAGAAAGCCGAGGTTAATAAGATAGAGATGGCGAGTCATCTGAAGAGGTCCTGGCAGAGTTTGTTGAAGGATCATTTTGAAGAGGCGATGAGAACATCCTCATCAGCACCGCCACTAATGGCGAATCCCTTCGTTAGAACTGCGGGACAATTAATGTTCACCTGGAGTCTGGTGGGAATAGAGTTGGAGACATTGACCTCGTATGACAGGCTGAAGTTGGGAAGCAAGAAGCTAGAGGTGTATCAGACACTGATGCAACACGTGGCCAGGGACAATTCAGGCTTGAGCCTGGCTAGAAGAAAAGATGCCACATGTTTCTTGAGATGGACAATGTCTATGATGTCTGATAGCACCATCCTGGCATGCCACCAGAGAGCAAGTGGAAGTAAAACCATGGAGAGAAGAGTCTCAACGATCATCTTGAACGTATATCAGAGTACAGGAATAGAGAAAGAAGATAGCTCCAGAGTATCCTTGGAGAACCATCGAAAGCTGGACGAGGTACGGAGGTTCTCTAATAAGAAGTTCGAGGAAGAACATGATGTTCACCGTAACCTGGCCTCGTCAGAACAATACTCGAGACTCAGTGAGAAGGGGGAATACCAATATGTGTCTGGAGTGATGGGAATAGCCTACAATCCCTTCTTAGACTCGGAAGCTGGAGGAGCCCACAGAAACCATGAGGTAGCGGAGCTACTGAAGTTTTGGACAGAAAGGATAATGGAGATAGACGCAGTGGAGAAAGAGGGGCCGAGCCTGGGCCTGATTCTTGAGAAAACACCAGAGGTGATAAGCATACCGCGCTCAAACAAGAGAGTTGAAGTGAACATGGGCGGTGGAAATGGCTTGTTAACCACGAACTTGGGAGTGATATGGAAGCTACTAAGACCCTCCTGGTGTCCACATCCCCATGCGAGTCTAATCGAGGAAACCACCGAGCGAGTGAGGTTAGCCCCAACGGAAGATGAAGATCTGGCGAAGTTGAGTGTGCTACATAAGCTAATCACACCCCAGATGCAAGAACCAAGCGAAAGGACGAGCGACCCCGGGTCAACAAAGAAATTGGAGCCGGGTAGCTGTCTGGATTCGACGTGTGGGAACGGAGAGCACATCTGCGATGGACGGTCATGCGTCAGAATACTGTCGTTTCAAAAAGAAGATCTGGTCACTTGGTTCGAAGACATCACAGAAAGGGAGAAAAGTGAAGTGCAAATAATAGCGGAATGTTACGCGAGAACCACGGTGAATATAGCGACAGCTCTCGGATTCTTCTCGAGAATGTGTGATCTGCAGGCACTGGAGAGACTGGAGTCTGAGCATCATTTAGTGACGGCGTTGAGCGTAGAATCATGGCCCGGGGTGTTGCAGGTGACTCAAAAACACATCCGGAGCTGGAAGGTTGGTCTTGAGGCGGAAATGGGATTTCCCTTGAGCGAAGCTTATGGCTTGCCATTGAACGCGAAGTCGCTGATAGGGTCAATGATGGCCAACTTGTGCGGAAGTCACTACCCGCTACACATGGCGATGGTGGAAGTGTCCAGCCAGAGAATACTGGTGGACAAGGTCTTCTCAGTGCCCAAGTGCGTGAGGTTGGCTCGGATATCGCATCACTCGCACAAGTTGTTGAGAAAAATCAAAGGGACAGTACCAAAAGAATTGAGAGATGACTTGAGCGAAATCTGGGGAGAAGATCTTCTGAAGTTGGAAAGAGAAAACACAAGCGATCACGAGAGACAAAACGTGATCGGGAAACCTGTGGGAAGTACTCCAAACCTGGAAGACAATGACACGATGCACGAGAAAATGATGGAGCTTGAGCCTCTCTTGGAAGCCTCAGGGGAGCGTAATCTCAGGAGCATTGAGATCTCTCATGGGGAATGCCCATGCCACTGTTTGGCACAAACGGTGTGGTATCCAGATCACAAGAACCTTTGCCTGGTGTGGGATGTGGAAGAGATTCGGTCGATCGGACTGCCGGATCACCGGCAGAAGGTGACGCTCTTAGTAGTGAGCACGATGTTAGCTCTGAGATGGATAGAAGAGAATATAACGAAGTATCGGGAGGCGACGACACCAACGGCTGAGTCAATATACGCGATAGACTACAGCAGGAGACTTGAGTTGTTTGAGACTGCGTGCAAAGTATTCGCCATACCAACGGAAGTCAGGCACGTATGGAGTCGCTTGAGGTACTTTCCATGGTTTCGGGCGACACTGACGTCTTGGTTGTACAGGGCAACGAAAGATCACATGAGAAAACATCAAAAGGAGTATCGACAGTTCCAGGCCGAGATTGGGCCGGAAGCTTTCAAGAGACCTCTGCTAACCCATCGTAATGCGATCACGACGGGATGGAAGAGAGTGGGTAAGATGTCTAGAGACAATACCAAAGCGAGGGAGTCGATACTAGAGGAAGACCTGGCGAAGAACGTGAGCTTGAGCCTGCACAACTCCTTTTGTTTGAACCGAGAAGCTAGGGTGAAGGCACTACCCAACCAGGCAAAGAGATTGCAGGAGCAGAGAGAATGGATGCGATCTTATGAACAACTGAAGGCTTGGGAGGAGATTGTGATTAGTTCCGATGATGAAGAGGAACTGTTGAGACAGTTTGCCGCATCTAGCACTTCAGGATGCAGTACATCCAAGGCGAAGAGCACGAGGTGAATGGGCAAATCGGATGGATCTTGAGTCTTGAGAGGGAAGGGGGGCTTGAGTGTGAATCCGAGTGAAACTTGGATTCACGAAAAAGAAATTTTAACAAAGTAAATATTGTTACTAATATACTATATCTATTATATAAATCGAAATGCTGCATGACAATTTCCTGATTGAATAGGACAAAAGAATTTTTAAAATGATTGGCTTGAAAAGCGAAAAATTCAAAGGTGCAGGTAAATGCAGATTTTGATTGCTGTTTAGCAATAGTGTGAAAATTTTAAATGGTCGTGAATTTTGGGGTGTAGATAATCTTAAATCTGCTGCAAACTTCTGTAAATGACCACTGGCACTGTATCTTGAGCAACACTCGGTTTTTCTGGGACTCACTGGCGGAAGACAGCGCGCGATGAGGACATCGATCTCGAGTCCGGGGAGTATGTGCCAGTCGGTCATATTTGGAAGTTTGACCTTGAGAAGAGCAGAAAATACTTGATTTTGGAGAGAAATTTTATTTTTCAAAAATTCGAATGGAACATGTCATGCACGATTTTCTCGCGACAACTGAAAATCAGAAAAAGAAATCAGAACAATTTTAGAGCAATTGCGGGAAAGTTAGAAAGTAAAAACGAGTGGGAAATTGCTATTCGCAATTTCCGTCTATATATAATCGAGAGTAGAGCTGTCCTACTTGAAATAGAAGACAGAGTATCCCCGAGAGAGCGATTACTAAAGTTGGACCAGAGTGAACCTTCAGCGGAAAGGCGGACAACTAGAGTGTCCCAACGGTCCAAGAGAACTCAAATTCTAGAGCATGAACTTATCCTTGCTGTCCAAACTATAAAACATTAAACTTCTCTTAGTTGTTTATTTCTTGAGTTAGTTACTGACTGGATTATTTTCCCAATTCTTGAGCGTGCTGCTATGTGAGTACAAATTTAATTTCTAGAGTGTGTTTTATGATTGTTATGTTGAGATAAGGCGAGTTTTAGGTTGATCCATCTGAAATGGATCAAAGTCACACTGTCTAATAAAAAGTAACCTAACGGATTGTTCCAACCCGGTTTTTAACGGCGTTCATGTATTTTGGGTATCTAGAGACCTAAGTATGGGGACGTTTCTAATTCTAGAGTGGGGGGATATTTTAGTAGTAGCCTTTAAGCTGTAACGGGTCGTAGTCTCATGTCATAAGCGAACCGAACTGGCTCCGACCGTTCTTGAGGTGGGAAAACACAAGAGATAGTGCCCCTGACCCTTGAGCCAGTGGTTATAGGGCCTATTTTTCTTAAGCCTCATGTGTGACTGCAGTAGACGAATGTTACAAAATTTCGAAATTGATTCGGTAGCGTATATGAATGATGTGGTAACAATTCGACAACCAGTGTTTTTCGTAGCTAATTTTTAAACCCAAGTAGCGCCATGCTCTTGTCATCTAGAAATATTTATCTATCAGGAAAATTTAAAAAGCCTGGAAAAAAGAGGTCTTTTGTCATGATACTTTTTAGAGATCAAACCATATTTCAATGTCTGCTCGTTAAAAAAAAGGATGACCGTCTGGTGTTTTCACATCAAATGAAAACTTGTTTGGCTTTTTAGCACTTGATGAATTAACCAAACTGTGTGTTTCCTACATTTTCTTGATATTATTTACGAAATAGATAATTTTCGAAGTCGTCTTTGCTATTTATTGAGCGTCATGCTGTACTTGATGTATCCCAAGTGGTGCGAAGCTCAGCTTCACCTTGTGCAAAGTTTTGAGTAAATGTCTGAATTTAGGCGTTTTAGAGAGTAAAAATTGCGCTTAATCCATTTGTGTATAATGGGCCATGGTGTGCACTACTTAGCGGTATCTGTTGTTAATAATTTATTGTGCTAGTACTTCTTTTGTAATCCTTACCTTTTGTTATTTTAGAACTAATAATGTCATACTATAAAGTCCTAAACGTAGAGCGTGATGCAACTGAACAGGTAATGGACAAGGATGATTAAATATGGAAATGGCATTCAAGTTTTTTTTGATGATTTTAAGTGTCTTGTGGAAACTTTTTTTGGTTTTGGAAACATATTTACATTGTTTTAAATACTTCAGGAAATCAAGAAGGCGTATCGGAAACTTGCCCTTAAATACCACCCTGATAAAAATCAAACTGACAAAGAAAATGCAGAAAAGAAGTTCAAAGAAGTTTCGGAGGCGTACGAAGTTCTAGCAGATGCAAATAAAAGAGTATTATACGACAAATATGGAAAAGAAGGTTTGACAAGAGGTCCACCTCCAACACAACAACCAGGAAGACAGTATGACATGTTTGGCGGACCACAATTTACTACTGGTACGTATCGACGATAACAAACACTTTTCTTACAGATCTGTAAGAATTGAAACTGCTTTTTTATTCAACCATAACATAACTTTTAGACTCCTTTCCATTTGAATTTGAGGTAGCGCGTTCGCCGTTGCACTTTGAGGTTCGAGTCCCAGCCGTACCTTGTTTTTTCATGTATGAATATGATGTTTTTTGCAGGGAAAATGGAATTGTCGGAATTAATTTTCTCTGTTTGTCTTATGTTTATCTAGGTTTTTTTTAGTAGAGAGCAATTTCCCTTGTAGTTACAAGTGTTATCGATTAACTCCTGTAGTTTTAAAATTTTTGCTTCTGATTCTGATTTTTGCTTCTATTGCTTTTTTCCTTTTTTGTTTTACTTTTCTTGTTTTCCTTTTTTTGCTTAAAAGCTTTCTTCGGCCTCAATAGTTTTGGCTGATATGAATAATCAATTTTTTATGGGCAGAAAATGATTTGTTATTTTGGTTGTAGTGTAAAAGATAGGTTGTAGTGTAAAAGTTATAACTTAATCGCACGTATCTTGCCATGTTTAAGCATTTTTTCGCAACAGTTAGGCATAACGTATGTGTGCCTGGTTAAGCTATATCGTATATATTGCAATGCGTAAGATTTTTTGCGCTTTTCTAGTTTGAATCTAGTGTTTGCTTCACCGAGCTAAAAAGTAAGGAACACAAAAATGGGATGTTATCAGAGTTTTCCCAGGGGTTGCACGTTTGGTCTTCAATTAAGAATGCCAAATCCTTTTGGTGTACGAGATGAGACAATTTTTGTGGCGTTTTCAGAAAACTCAACTTATAAAATAATTTACAAAAACTTGAAATTCCCAACCCAGTAGTTGCGTGCTGTCAGATTACTCTCAAGGATTGCGAATAATGCCTCTAAATGTGACCGCTTAAATCCTTTTAGTTTTCGAGTTATGACGTGTTTTATGATTTTTTTTTTAATTTTTCAGAAAACTTGGTTTAAAAAAATCGAAAGATTTGAAGTTCCTAGTCTTGTAGCTGGGTGCAGCGAGGGTACTCTCAGGAGTTTCAAGACAGAAAGTCTGCGCCCTAATGCGACTGCTCAAATGCTCTCAGTTTTCTCGAGATTTTTGTGATTTTTCAAAAAAAAAACTTCCAATCTTAAATTTAAAAATTGTTGTCAAGTTTTGAAATTCTCAACACTCTAATTGGGGACTGTCAGACTACTATCGGGGGTTGCGAATCTCGTTTCTAAATATGACTGTTCATTTTTTTGTAGTTTAAGAGATATGACGTGTGTTGTGATTTTTAAAAAAATATATATCAGTAAACTTAATTTCAGTTTTTTTTTTCAAATTTGAAATTACCGACCCTTTAGTTGGAAGCTGTCAGAGAACTCTCAGGGGATTGCAAGTCTTTCCCCGAAATATGACTGCTCAAATCTTTTTAGTTTTTGAGATATGGCGTTTTGTGATTTTTTTTTCTAAAAATTTTAAGCCAATTTAATTTTTTTTTTCAAATATCAATTGAATTTTGAAGCTTTCTTCCTCGTATTGACGGTAGGCGACTGTCAGAATATTTTTATAGCTCCTAATATTTTCTCCAAGTATGAATGCTCAATTCTTTGTAGTTTTCAAGGCATGACATTTTTTGAGATTTTTTTTTCAAATTCCCAACGCTCAAGTTGGGGGTGCCAGAGTTTTCGAGGGGATGGCGAATCTCGTCGCCACATTTGACTGCTCAGGGCTTTGTAATTTTCCAGATGTGACGCTTTTATTTATTATTATTTTTTTTTCGAAACTTAAATTTAGAACTTTTCTCAGAATTTGAAATTCCTAATCCTGTAGTTAGTTACTGTGAGATTTCTCTCAGGATTTGCAAATTTCGTGTCCAAATCCGACTGCTCAAATGCTTTTAGTTTCCAAGATGTGACATTATGAATTTAAAAACTCATAGACAAAAAACTCATTTGAAATTACGAACCCTGTTATTGGGTAGTGTGGAGTACACTCAAAGTTTCAAGATTTTTTTTTATGTATGCGGTTTTTTTATGCTTATACTAAAAGCTTATTTCACGTTGTTCGTTGTTTCGCGAAAGTTTTTCTGCAGTTGAATTTTCCATTAAAAAACAGTATTTCTTATGTTTTTTTTTTCGATTTAGTTATTTCGGTCTCCTTTTCTATGCGCTAGCTTGCAATACTAGGCTTGCGTTGCATTTCAAGTGATGTGGAGCTCCGCGTCGCCTTCTGATGCTTGTTTTTACGATAGAATTTAACTGCTAAGACACAATATCTGAAGCCAACTTCTACCTTAGTTTTGTTGTTACTTGGCTTTGAAGGTCTCCTTGGATTATGTTAATCTATTATATGTTTAAATGCGGGCTTCTCTATCTCGCCACGTTTAAGCTTTTTCAACGTATTTTTTTGGCATGTTTAACGAAAGAATTTTTTCACGTTTAAGCTATATCGTATATTGCAATGGTTAGGATATATATATTTTTTCGATTTGCCAGCCTGAATTTGATGATTATTTCACCAAACTAAAAATAATCTCCACAATAATGGGATGCTGTCAGGGTTCTTCCAGGCTTGCGAGTTTGACCTTCAACGATGAATGCTCAACTCCTTTTAGTGTACAAGATACGAAGATTTTTGTGATTTTTTAAAATAATTTTCAGAAAACTCAAATTTCTAACCCTGTAGTTGGATGCTGCGAATCTGGACTCCATTTATAACTGCTCGAATCACTGTAGTATTCGAGGTTTTGACGTTTTTTATGATTTTTTTTTAATTTTCACAAAATTTGAATTTAAAATTATTCAGAAAATAAGAAAATCCCAACCTTGTAGTTGAGTACTGTAAGGGTATTTTCAGGAGTTCACGTTTGCAAATCTTGCGTCCAAATGCGACTGCTCAAATTATCTTAGCTTCCGCTGACTTTTTTTTTTTAAAATTTTGGTTAAAGAACTTAGATATAAAAATTTTACAACACATGAAATTCCTATCTCGATAGTTAGGCTGTATCAGGGTACTCCCAGGGATGGGAATAATTGACTTCAAATATAACTGCTCAAATCTTTGAAGTTTTCTAGATATGACGTTTGATGGTTTTTCAACAAAAAGATTTTTTTATAGAAAAATTAAATTTTAAGTTTCTCATAATTTAATATTCCCAAGGCTGTAGTTGGGTACTTTCAGAGTAATCTCAGGGTTTGTGATTTTTGCGTCCAAATATGACTGCTCAATTCTTTGTAGCTTTCCAGATATGACGTTTTTTTATGGTTTTTAAAAAAAATTGAAGTTTCTAAATCGAAATTCCCAACGCTGTAGTTGGGTACTAAGAGTACTCGCAGGAGTTCCAAGTCTTGCGTCCAAATGAGGTTGCTCAATTGCTTTGGTGTCCGAGATGTGACGTTTTTTTGTGTCATTTGAAAATTTTCCAAAGATCTTAGATTTCAAAAAACTTCACAAAGCTTTATGGTTTTTCAAAATTTGAATTAAAAAATTTTGCAGAAAAAACGCTTTGCAATATTTGAAATTACCAACCCTGTAAATTGGTTCTACTAGAGTACTTTTCAAAGGATGCAGATCTCATTTCCAGTATATGCAGTTTTTTATGAGTTTTAAAAAATTCGAAGCACTAGAGGTGCGTTGCACGCTAGTATTATTTAAGTTGCAGCATGATACGTTCTTGCAAGGGCAAAATTAATTTATTTTGTGCTTCATTAAAGGTTTTTTTTCGGATCAACGGTTGCTTGTCCAAGTACTGTCGGCTTACTCGACGCTTGATTAAATTTGTTGCCGTTCTAATTGAAAACTGGCAATTGTGTATCTCCTTTCTCGACATCTTTCGCCTCAAAACTAAATACATATAAAAAAAATTTGGCGGTCATAGATTTCAATATTTTATCGACTTGCAGGCTTTAGTCTAGTTTTTTTGTTGTCTAGCCTGTGATGCTCTGTTTTTATGCTTAGTTACCCTTGCGTAAGCATGGGTATTGCAATCGGATACTCTACTTTTCCCCCGTAAATAACTTAATGCTCAATTTTATAGGAATGGTAAATTTGAAGACATGCTCAATTTTACAAAAACTTGAATAAAAATACTTTATCTAGGTAGTAAATAAGTGGAGTACGTTTCGGGCATTAATTATTCTTTCAAATGAATTTCTTGAAAAAAGGTTGAATTTTTTTTTATTCGTGGTTTTCGGGCTAATTTCCGCCGGTTTATTTTCCGTTCTTAATGTCATTTATATTATCTGGTACTAATTTTTATCGGCCTAGTTTGTAAAGCATGGATTGGTTTTGATTCTCATTTTCTTATATTATAAATAAAAGTTCTGTAATTTGTCATTGTATCAAGTCTCATTTTGAATTTTTTTTGGTTAAACCGTTCCCTGTTTCAGCTTCTGTTGTATCGTCTTAGTCAATTTATTTTGTGTACTTTCAAAGGCCAAAAAAATCCTGTTTGACAAAATCAGGTATATAAAAATGTATGGGATTGGGTTTCCTTTTTTTTTACTTTTTTGAAACGGTTTTGAAAGTTATTCTTTTTTTGCAAACTTTAGTTCGGTATAAAAGTACTTTATCGGTTTTCAAAAGAGGTTTATCAATGTAATTTACTTCTACTACTCTATGTGGCTGCATACTGTCGTAGTCTCTTTTCAGTCTACCCTAGTCTACAGCCTTCGAAAGTGCCTGCTGGGGAAATATTTGACTCACATTTTTTTCTCAAAATTAACTTCTGAGATTTTAGGTTCAATGGATAGAACGGGTTATGATAAGCTCACCTACTCAATCGGCTATGCCCGAATGTTTCTTCAGGAAAAGTTATAGCCCTAGGAGTAGTCAAATATTTGATTTTTGACTATTTTTTCGAAATTTGCCTTTCCGTTTTCTCGACTGTTTGATCGTTCTCGGCCTTTTTTGAACGCTTTAAGATTTTGGGTGCCATTGAGTTAACGGGTTGTGGGAGCTCTACTGCATCATCGGCTCTGCTCAATTGTTTTAAACAAAGGTTATGGTGTTCGGAGAAATTAATATTTGGTTTTTGTGCCATTTTTGAAACTATTTGACTTCTCCTGAAAATTACCCTGCCAATTCTTGAGTTAATTGTTTAATTGCGAAACCTGGTTATGGGAACCTTCTCTGCTTCAGTGGCCAGGACCTTCTTTTTGCAGAAAAACGTTTCGAACTTTGGAAAGTCAAGTTTTTGAACTTCGATCGCTTTTTAGTAACTCTTTGGCTTTTCTTAGAAACTACCCTATCAAATCTGAGATTAAGGGTTCGATCGAAAGAAGTGGTTGCAATTATTTTTCGTACAGAAGCGGCGATTCTCTATTGTTTGTTAGAAAAGTTTTTAGTGTTCGCAATTATTTTAGTAGCGAAACAACTAGGTTTTGGGCTGCCCATTTCATCTCGCATCAGTATAAAAAAATCCAAAATATTAAACAGCTACCTCCACTTTTAGGTGGGAACCTATTTATCTTTTATCGAGATACGAAAATTTTAGTTCTCGTAGTTTTTTTTAACATTCTTACTTATGTTTTATGGTTGTGTTGTATGGCAAGTGGCGCGAAGCTCCGCTTTGCATCTGTGTTCGAATTCATGTTTAAATCATTATTTGGAATTGTTTGAACTTGCACAGCAACCGGCTATCCTTGTTAATATTCGCCCTTCAGGTATTTTTGCACTCTTTTTCATAGAGCCAGCAAAAATTTTTTCAAATTGAATTAGCTCCATCAGAAAATTGTCAATTACAACTGATTCGTGAAAAAAGACTCGATGTTTCTCTCATTGAAAACTTAATATTTCTGCTCCACTCTTTTTAGTCAAGAAGATGTCTTTTTTTGCTTTCTTAGAGTTCACTTACACTTTTCACAGTCTGGTGGCTTAGTGTTTGCTGAAATTTCATGAGAAAAAACACGAACGTATTTCTTGCATTGATATTTGTGGATTAAATATGATTGAAAAATTAACCATTCGCTTTTCAGGATTCCATTTCCGCGATCCTTTTGAAATGTTCAACGACTTCTTCAAAAACGACCCGGTGTTTGACGACTTGTTTCCTGAGTTCGGAAAGTTCAACAATCAACACGAGTTCAAAAACCACGAGAAGACCCGACGTTTCTCATCTGGACCTCGGATGGCGACGAACTCGTTCTTCGGAGGCGGCTTCGGAGGATTTAACGATCCCTTCTTCTCCTCTTCTTCATTTGCTTTTCAATCTAGCTCTAGTAGTTTTGGCGGAGCTCTAGGCGGTGGGAATTTCACGCGAAAAGTATCAACGTCAAGCCGGATGGTAAATGGGAAGCAAATAGTGACCGAGAAAGTGACTGAGAACGGAGTGACAACGGAAACCGTCCGAGAGAACGGACAAGTCATCTCACAGAAGACTATCACAGGACCAACTTCATCAACTATGAAAAGCAAGGCAATCGGAAAGAAATAAACTCAACCATGCCAAATCAGACAAATTAAATCAGATCAACTTTAAAACTCCTACTGGACCGACTAATTTTTGTTCTACGTGCTTTTTTCAGACATTGCCCAGTGTTATTGTTGTTTTATAATATTCACTGTATTTCAACAGTATAAAGTTAAATTAAATGTATACAAATGTGCATTATTTTCAGTTTTTAGATAAATTTAGAATAAAATCGAATTTTTTGAACAGATCAGACATGAGGGGAAAAATTGGAGCTAAGCTGGGTGGCAGTGAACTGAGAAACTTCTTGGGTTGTTTTTCTGAAACCTTCAGAAGCCACAAAAGGACTCAGTTTTTCGTTTTAGTCTATTATAACCCCTGGGCTAAACATGGGGTATTGCAAGCGGGTACAAGACTTTTTTGCCTTGTTCGCACATTAACTCGATTTAAATTAACTTATACTTCGTTGATTACCCGAACGTATCGTAGCGTGATAGTACGATGTTGTTTTTAACCAACCCAAGTCACAAATAAAAGTGCTACTTGTGTCTGCTCTTTTGAATCAGTAGGCTGCATTAGCAGTATGATATTATGTGCCTTGACATGTTATTAGTAACAAGTCAGCGCAGTTGATGCTTTTTTAGTTCATCTATTAAACCGGAAAAAGATAATTGTTTCAAATTACAGTATAATAATTAAAACCCCTTTTCAAAAATTTTCCAATTTTGAAATGCATAATTTACACGCAATTTGATGTAATAGTTTGTAATTTATTAGTTGCAAAGTTAGTGTTAGTTGTTTACTTGGCATGTTGTTACATGCAAAATTGAGTTTTAGTGATTTTTAAAGCTTTTGTGCACCCCAATCTTTGCCGCTTTCGCGCTCGTGTGGGCGAAGTCGCAGCTTCGTCTGTGTTGATTGTTTTCATTTGGTCTAGATGACGCGTCGATGCTTGGGAAGCCAAAGACCTGCGGTTTGAGTGAATCTTTCGGATTATTGTGTTTGTGCCAGCAATACTGCGTCTACCAATCGAGTTCCATAGTTTTTTGCTAAGTGTTTTTAACTATTTTTTTTAAAAATTCAAATTACCCGTAATCATGACTTATGCTGAATACTTTGATCATTGGTTTTTTGTTCCAACAAATTCTTGTAAAAATTATGATAGTCAAGAATTTTTTTTCAAGTTATTCAACTTTAAATTGTGATTCTTGACTTTATTGAATTCGTGAAATAATTTACCTTAGATTCCATTACAATGAAATGCTGTTCATCTTAGATTTTGATTTTCGGTTCAGTTTTCCGAAATATGTGATTGTGGTTTTGATATATGCTTAGTTTGTTCCGATCACTGAAAGTGAGAGGAAACATTGACTTCGAGTATGTTTTTAATTTTAAAACAGTTCACGCTAAATCATGTACCTTAAAAAATCATTGGAATTTGTTGAGTTTTAAATCAAATCTAAACCATTGTAGTCGTGATTAAAACTACATATAACGTTTGCCAATAAGTTTTCTCAATGTCGAATAAAAACCGGCTTGAATTTTTGATTTTTAATCTAATTTCGTTGTTCTTTTGGTTTTTCATTTTTGTGGTCGGAACTGCCTGTGATTCTTGCAGATAAAAACAACGGATATCGTTGTTTTTATGGAGTAAATGAACCAGTCAAAATTTAAATCCAACAAAAAATGAACAGAGTTTGAGAAGAGTATATAAACCAGCCGAAGTATTACATCATATTAATGAAATTTGCATATTTTGGTAACTGTTCATAATTATCGTTACATATAGCAAATACGTATCACGGCTGGTTGATACTTCGGCTGGTGTATATACTGCTGTTATTATATTCACTCGCTTTCAAATCCCAGTAGTGTTAAGCTATGCTTCACCTCTGTGCGAAGGCTTATGTATCATTTAGAGTCGATGGACGTAGTTCAGACTCTTAAATGGGTCGCGATTGTTTTTTTTCCATGAAAAGTCTTACCATGAAAATTGTTCAGGCTTAAACTTACTTTTAAGCTTTAGGACCATCTCTTCTTAAGAGCAATGAACGTAGTGAGTGATCTTATATAGGTTTTTGCTGATTATTATTGTTTTTCCAGGAAAAAGTCTTAAAATTTGTTCACGGTCATTTTTGATTTTTCGTGGTTTGACTTGTGATTTCTTTTTAAGTTCAGTGCATTTCCATTGTTAAAAGGAATCTCTACTATCTCCACTCCCTGCACAATCTCCACTATCGAACATCAAAATTGTAAAGGTCACGAAAAATGTTATCTACTTCTAAGTTCGAAAATGGAAATTATTTATAAGATTTCCCAGCCAAATAAAAGTTTTACTTATTGATCCACTTTTTCAAATTGGTTTAATTTTAACATAAAAGTGGCCATCATAGATTGTTCTACAAATTCGATGAGCTTTAATGCCATCTATTTTCGTCTTCGAATTCCAAAAGTTGAAGATTTTTGAACAGAATTTGGTTTTTTTTTCAGTGTCCTTGCTCCTTGCGTTTATTACTCTTTTCCAACTGTCAGTTGGCTAAGTTTTTATTGAAAATTTGAAAGCTGAGATTTTTCAAAAGACAAGTCAGTATTTTATACGTTAACTAGCGTTCATTGACTCTTTTCCAACTGTGTTGGCCATGTTTTTATTTGGCAAAATGCAACTACATCTTCAAATGGAGATAGATTTGGAGACTGAGTTTTGATGCTGCTTTTAGTTTCCAGCGAGTTCTTTAAATTTTTTTTGTTTCAGCAATTTGCGGATGCGCAAATAGCCCTATTCTTTTTTAGTTAAAGTACATGTATTGGCAATGGATCATTATTATTGCAGTGGTAAATTTTTGTACACATGCAGGAAGTCTAATAACGTCAAAATTATTCGAGGTTTGTGCATCTGAACGATCTGAATTACTTTAGTATTTCTTTTTTATAGTTGTCTTGCATTTCTTAACTCACTGGTTCTTAACGCAATAGCAAATCTATAGATGCTGTTCTTTTGTTTTTTTATTCGAGACACAAAAAGCTGTGAAGCGTGGGTGAAAAATTGAAGCGTAGTGAATTTTCGGAAATTATTTATGAGCGATAAGTCTAAAAATTTGATATTTAATTTCTTTGTTAAGCACGAATTACTTCTGATGGTTTTCGAATATATGTAATTGTCGAACACGTAAAGCAAAAATTGTGAATAACATGTATGCTTCAATCTTAAAAAATCAGCGTGCAGTTGAATCGGTAGGCTGCGGAAGCAGTATAATATCATATGTGCTTTGATATTTGATTAGTAAAATGTTAACACAGCTGATGCATTTTTAAATCATCAAATGAACTGAAAACACTTATTCATTTCAAACATCAGTGCAATGATAATAAGCTCGATTTCATTACACTTGCGAAGCAATGTGTTATAGTACGAATTTTCTTTTTTTTCCAACCAAAGTCGCAAATATTGTGGCAGATTTTGTTGCTACTAATTCGCAATTATTGTTGCGACTTAAAGCAACAATATTTGCTGCGTCGAATTTGCTGCATCGAATTGGCAATAAGATATTTTGTTGCACCTTTGATATTTAGTTGCACCTTTACAGCTTACTGATAAAATGTGCTTTGACATTCTAATAGTTATAAGTTTACACAGTTGATGTATTTTTAATTCAAGTGAACCGAAGAAAGTTATTTGTTTCAAGTATCATAAGAAAAATAAAATCTGGATGTCACAAATTTTCTAAATCAATATATCTTGCAGTTTTTGAAATGCATAATTTATGCAATGCGGTTTTATGATTTGCAATTTTTTACATGCAAACTTGTATCTTTTTGTATTTGATGCTACTTTTGCTACATCGAATTGACAATTTATTAGCATATGTAGCTTCCTTGTTGGTGGCTAGGTTTTGGGGGTTTTAGGCTTCCGTGGCTGAATGGTTAGTGTATGAGACTCAAATTTGCTAGGTCGCAGATTTTTGCTAATTCGAGTTTTTGCTAAGCCTCGAGTCTTTGCAAGCTCGAGGCTTATTTCTACTTTTTTTGATGTCACTTGATAGAGCTTCTTTTTGGTCTTGTTCTCGCAAGTGTTGGCGAAGCTCATCTTCGCCTATGTGTAAATTTTCCAACTCAATGTATCTCGCAATTTTTTTGAAACGCATAATTTATTCATTGTTTGGCTTTATGCTTTCCAATTTATTACATGCAAACTGTCTTTGTATTTGGTGCTATTTTGCTGTATCGAAATGGCAATTTATCAGCATATGTAGCTGCTTTATTGGTAGCTAGTCTTTGGGGGATTTTAAGTATTCTTAGAGGAGTGTTAACTGCGTGAGACCCAAATTTGCTAGGTCGCAGATTCGAATCCGACACGTAGCCGAGTTTTTGCTAATTCGAGGTTTACTTTTTTTTTTTTCATATTTCACTAGATAGAGATGGTTTTTGGTCGTGTTCTCGCAAGTGTTTGCGAAGCGCAGCTTTGCCCATGTGTTTGATTAATAATAAGTGTATTCTTTTTATATAAAGCTTTTTAAAAATGGATATACTTGATGTCAAAAAATAATTGATATACGAGAATCGATAAGTTGAAATAAGCCCAAACTTGCGATCATAAAGTGAGTAGGAGGTATTGACCAGGTATGCGTTTTTCTCAAAAACTAAAATAATTAGAAGACAGTCAACCGTGATAGTAGTATTGTAATCCGCCGTGTGTCCTTAGGGGGGGGGGTCTTTTCGACGGTAGGGGTATTTGGGGTCCTACCAAAAGTAGGGTCCAAAAGGACCCATCTTTTTTAAAGACCCCAAAGTACCCTGCCCGAAATAAAAAGACCCCTCTCTTAGGACACCCGGCAGACAAAATACTTTGGTATTTATTTTCGCGCGGTGGTTAAATTTAATCTCTTCCAAACTTTCCCACTGTTCAACTAAATAAGTTTGAGACCCCATTAAAAAACTGACCTGCTTGAGAAGGAGGAAGGACGTGACAAATAATAAGAGGGTAAGAAGGTAAAGAGGACTTGATAAATAATAGATAAAGTAACATATAAAAAAAAGAAAAAAATAAAACAAAAACGGAATGTTGACAGGAGTACGGATAGGAGAGCAGAGGAAGGGTTTACGGCCACATCCGCATGTCGTCTTCGGGATCCGACCAAGGGACATGAAGAATACTGACTAGACGCTCCATTTGAAATTTGAAGCGCCACTCAGTACTCTCGAATCCCGCACCCAGAGACTCGCACAGCCAGAAATTTTCCATGCTCCCCACATCAACACACACATATTCAAATATGCCCTCCTTTTTCTCAAATGCAACCTCAATGTAATGCAGCTTAAAATTCGCTGCAGTGGTGGCCGGGGTAAACTCTACGGTCACACCAAAGATATTTTTGCCTTCGTGAGTTCCAGGTCCCACATAAGGCAAATCAATGGGTGACTCGTGGAGACCACCAAGGGGAATATCCATCTAAACACATGAAAATAGGTTGAAATCATTAGTTAGAAATAGGAGTGAGTAAGTGGTATCTAGAAGGTTACTTTCATTTCCACTGGCTTGAAATTCAGCAGGTCGGAGAAGTGCTGGAAAAAAAAATGAAATTGGAAAAACGTAGAGTTACTTCAAAAGACTTGGAAATTATTCATGAAATTTTTATTACTTTGAAAAAAACCTATCCGGAAAACACCAACCGTCGAAATTATTTCTTAACTGCATGTTCACTGTTCTTCTTCTCAACTACTAATGATATAAATTACGATGTTGCTATCAAGTTGAGACCCTATGGGGGTCTGATCGGTATAGACAATTCTTCTTTGGATAAATATTTAAATGATTCGAAAATTTTACGAATGCATGCTATTTTACACGATGCCGCCGGTTTTGTCCGCGAAGTTTATAACACTGGTCCCACATACTGCTATGTTTTACCATGGAAATGCAACAGTAGTTTGATTGGTCACTTGAGTGGAATTACGTTTTGTTTGTATATCAAACTGAAGAAACCGAAACTTTACCATTTATTAGAATGCTGAAGGAAAAATCAGTTGTGTTGGATTTTGAGGGATTTCGACACCAGAAAAACTTATTTATAGTAAAAGAATTAGCTATAACAACTTCCGACTACAGTGATTCCCTAATTTTTCTACCTCCAGTTAATTTCAATTCCCTTCCAAAATCTGAACAAAAAGCCTACAACTGGCTGACAAATTATTTGCACGGACTTCATTGGGATAGCGGTGATTATTTATACCTGAATTTGAACCAAATCATTCAAAGTTTTGTCTTAAGAAACCCCAATGCTGTATTCTACGCCAAAGGAAAAGAAAAAGCTGATTTTTTATCCAAATACTTAGACCGCAAAGTCGTGAATCTTGACGATTTGGGCTGTCCACGAGTCGAACAATTATATTTCAAGAATTTTGTGCATTGTAACAAACACCTACCGCACCATAACTCTAAAAATCATTGTGCATTAAAAAAGTCGAAAGCGTTCTTTGATTGGTTGAAAAATGAGTGTCAACAACGAGCGTCAGGTGAAAGTGGAGACATACATATCTCCAAATTCAGTTCTTTGTGCTTGGATGACACCAGAAAGTAACATAAAGATTTCATTGACCAGGATTGAACGCATTGATTGTAGAGGCCAAGTAGTTCAACTAAAAGAACAAGTTACACTTTCTGAAGAAGAGTTGTGCACTTTGAGGAGGTTCAACAGTATAAAGTTAAATTAAATGTATACAAATGTGCATTATTTTCAGTTTTTAGATAAATTTAGAATAAAATCGAATTTTTTGAACAGATCAGACATGAGGGAAAAAATTGGAGCTAAGCTGGGTGGCAGTGAACTGAGAAACTTCTTGGGTTGTTTTTCTGAAACCTTCAGAAGCCACAAAAGGACTCAGTTTTTCGTTTTAGTCTATTATAACCCCTGGGCTAAACATGGGGTATTGCAATCGGGTACAAGACTTTTTTGCCTTGTTCGCACATTAACTCGATTTAAATTAACTTATACTTCGTTGATTACCCGAACGTATCGTAGCGTGATGGTACGATGTAGTTTTTAACCAACCCAAATCACAAATAAAAGTGCTACTTGTGTCTGCTCTTTTGAATCAGTAGGCTGCATTAGCAGTATGATAACATGTGCCTTGACATTTTATTAGTAACAAGTCAGCGCAGTTGATGCTTTTTTAGTTCATCTATTAAACCGGAAAAAGATAATTGTTTCAAATTACAGTATAATAATTAAAACCCCTTTTCAAAAATTTTCCAATTTTGAAATGCATAATTTATACGCAATTTGATGTAATAGTTTGTAATTTATTAGTTGCAAAGTTAGTGTAGTTGGCTTTAGTTGTTATCTTGGCATGTTGTTACTTGCAAAATTGAGTTTTAGTGATTTTTTAAGCTTTTGTGCACCCCAATCTTTGCCGCTTTCGCGCTCGTGTGGGCGAAGTCGCAGCTTCGTCTGTGTTGATTGTTTTCATTTGGTCTAGATGACGCGTCGATGCTTGGGAAGCCAAAGACCTGCAGTTTGAGTGAATCTTTCGGATTATTGTGTTTGTGCCAGCAATACTGCGTCTACCAATCGAGTTCCATAGTTTTTTGCTAAGTGTTTTTAACTATTTTTTTAAAAATTCAAATTATCCGTAATCATGACTTATGCTGAATACTTTGATCAATGGTTTTTTGTTCCAACAAATTCTTGTAAAAATTATGAAAGTCAAGAATTTTTTTTCAAGTTATTCAGCTTTAAATTGTGATTCTTGACTTTATTGAATTCGTGAAATAATTTACCTTAGATTCCATTACAATGAAATGCTGTTCATCTTAGATTTTGATTTTCGGTTCAGTTTTCCGAAATATGTGATTGTGGTTTTGATATATGCTTAGTTTGTTCCGATCACTGAAAGTGAGAGGAAACATTGACTTCGAGTATGTTTTTAATTTTAAAACAGTTCACGCTAAATCATGTACCTTAAAAAATCATTGGAATTTGTTGAGTTTTAAATCAAATCTAAACCATTGTAGTCGTGATTGAAACTACATATAACGTTTGCCAATAAGTTTTCTCAATGTCGAATAAAAACCGGCTTGAATTTTTGATTTTTAATCTAATTTCGTTGTTCTTTTGGTTTTTCATTTTTGTGGTCGGAACTGCCTGTGATTCTTGCAGATAAAAACAACGGATATCGTTGTTTTTATGGAGTAAATGAACCAGTCAAAATTTAAATCCAACAAAAAATGAACAGAGTTTGAGAAGAGTATATAAACCAGCCGAAGTATTACATCATATTAATGAAATTTGCATATTTTGGTAACTGTTCATAATTATCGTTACATAACAAATACGTATCACGGCTGGTTGATACTTCGGCTGGTGTATATACTGCTGTTATTATATTCACTCGTTTTCAAATCCCAGTAGTGTTAAGCTATGCTTCACCTCTGTGCGAAGGCTTATGTATCATTTAGAGTCGATGGACGTAGTTCAGACTCTTAAATGGGTCGCGATTGTTTTTTTTTCCATGAAAAGTCTTGAAAATTGTTCAGGCTTAAACTTACTTTTAAGCTTTAGGACCATCTCTTCTTAAGAGTAATGAACGTAGTGAGTGATCTTATATAGGTTTTTGCTGATTATTATTGTTTTTCCAGGAAAAAGTCTTAAAATTTGTTCACGGTCATTTTTGATTTTTCGTGGTTTGACTTGTGATTTCTTTTTAAGTTCAGTGCATTTCCATGGTTAAAAGGAATCTCTACTATCTCCACTCCCTGCACAATCTCCACTATCGAACATCAAAATTGTAAAGGTCACGAAAAATGTTATCTACTTCTAAGCTCGAAAATGGAAATTATTTATAAGATTTCCCAGCCAAATAAAAGTTTTACTTATTGATCCACTTTTTCAAATTGGTTTAATTTTAACATAAAAGTGGCCATCATAGATTGTTCTACAAATTCGATGAGCTTTAATGCCATCTATTTTCGTCTTCGAATTCCAAAAGTTGAAGATTTTTGAACAGAATTTGGTTTTTTTTTCAGTGTCCTTGCTCCTTGCGTTTATTACTCTTTTCCAACTGTCAGTTGGCTAAGTTTTTCTTGAAAATTTGAAAGCTGAGATTTTTCAAAAGACAAGTCAGTATTTTATACGTTAACTAGCGTTCATTGACTCTTTTCCAACTGTGTTGGCCATGTTTTTCTTTGGCAAAATGCAACTACATCTTCAAATGGAGATAGATTTGGAGACTGAGTTTTGATGCTGCTTTTAGTTTCCAGCGAGTTCTTTAAATTTTTTTTGTTTCAGCAATTTGCGGATGCGCAAATAGCCCTATTCTTTTTTAGTTAAAGTACATGTATTGGCAATGGATCATTATTATTGCAGTGGTAAATTTTTGTACACATGCAGGAAGTCTAATAACGTCAAAATTATTCGAGGTTTGTGCATCTGAACGATCT